GAAAAGGGGCATATTTAAGAGCTTGCTGATGCTGTACACGTACAGACTGGCTATTATTTTGAGTAGAGTAGATGAATCACTCACTCTTCTATGAGAACGTGCTACCTTCGTTGCTCAGCGCTCATGGTCGATACCTTCTTCCTCCTCACACCTCTACTGTTGATCTGGCTATCTGACGTCGGGAATGCCTCTTTTCCTGCCGCGCCTCCGTCTTCATCGCCGCTTTCTCAGTAGCTCCTGGAAATGGAGACGCTAATGGTTATGATGCAGAGGGAAAGAGGGAGGAGAAGTGGGAAGAGGAATGTCCTATTAAATGCGCAAAGCAGTGGTAACAACTATCCGAACTCTATGAAGTATTTTGATATACTATTCCCTTTCATGGGTTTATCATTCCCGACGTGAAGATCCGAATATCATTTATGGGGCTTGGGGCCAAAAAGCCCTCCTTTACTTCTTACTGCTGGGTGGTTTGTCAAGTGTTGTCAAATCGCACAACTGCGTGAAATCTAACTGACCATCATCTCATGCGGTGGAGTTGTCAGCAGTAGCAATCTGAAAGGTAAAATGGCTTGATTGCACCTTTTATTCTTTCAGACATGTCTGTCTGAGAAAAGTATTTTGAGGTTATAAAACATGTCAAAGTTGACAGTGGGGGGTCGGAAGGACACGTTTTGACAGCTAATTCACCACTTAATGACTCAAAATCGAAAAGTTAGGTGATGGTAGATGCAACTGAGAGACATGTGATATGACCTGTAGCATACGACAGAGTGGAAGGCAAAGCAGATCCTTTCTGTTTTGACTATTACAAGTCTCATCAAGATGACAGATTCTACGAAAGATCTTCCCTTGTTATAGCTTTGCTTCTAGGCACCTATCACGCTCTATTTTCACCGGTGCGGTGGAGCACAACAAACCATGTTTGGCGATGCGACTAAAACCACGAAGTTGAGTAGATTAAAAGCATCCTCAAGCACAGGCGCCTCTTAGCCAACACATCTGTCAAGTGTATTTATACCGTGTGTCCCTCCTCACTCTCTTAGAGAAGTTGATAAGTTAGTGCAGATAGACCACTGGGCTGCGTCATGCAGCGAGTGAACCAAAGAAATAAACGAGCTATCTATTCTGGCCCCTTCAACTTCCTTCCTATTTTGAATTCACATCAA